GAGTGCAGTTGGTGCGATCTCAGCTCACTGCAACCCCACCTCTCAGGCTCAAGAGATCCTCCCACTTTGGCCTCACAAAGTGCTGGGATTACAGGCATGAGCCACCATGCCTGGCTGAAAATTTATTTTCTATAATCTTGCAACGCTTTTGACATCAGATATGTGAGTTTTCCAAAACCATGCAATTTTCCAATTCTCTGTGGACACTAACTGGATGTTCTAAAGTTTTATTTTGAACCAACTACCCAAAGTTAGCACAGACCCCACAGGCTAAGGGCTCAGTCCCACAAGACTGTCCCTACCTCAGATGCCCGTCACAAGTCCAGGTTTCCCACACTTCTGACCAAGTAGCTGTAAATTGGGGGTTCCCTTGACCCCCTCCTTGGGTTTGATACTTTGCTAGAACTGCTCAAAGAAGTCAGAGAAACACATTTATTGGTTTACTTTAAAGAATATAATAAAAAATACAGATAAACAGCCAGATGAAGAGGTACATAGTGGGAAGTCTGGAAGGGTCCCATGCACAGGAGCTTCTGTCCCCATGGAGTTGGAGTGTGCTATCCTCGCAGCACTTGCATGTGTTCACCAACCAGAAGCTCTCTGAACCCCATAGTTTAGAGATATTTATGGAAATTTCATCATGTAATCATCAGTTATTAACTCAGTCTCCAGCCACTCTTACCTCCTAGAGAATGAGAATGGAGCTGAGTTCCAAGCTTCTAATCATAGTTGGGTCTTTCTGGTGACCAGCCCCCATCCTGAAGCTGTCCAGGAGCCCACCAAGAGCCACTTCATTAGAGTGAAAGAATCTCCTATTACCCAGGACTTCCAAGGGATTTGGGAGCTCTGTGTCAGGAAGTGGAGTAAAAGACCAAATACATTAAAACAAACTATGCTCCTAGCACCACCCCCCTGCCCCCATCACTCAGGAAATTATAAGGGTTTTAGGAGCTCTTATATCAGGAACCAGGAGCAGAGACCAAATATATATTTATTATGTCATTATACAAAATACATAGAATACATAGTTTATTAAAGTAAAAAAAATTATTAACTGGAGCTGGGGGGAAATTCTTTTAATCTATTCTTTCCAGCTATTAATAGTGATATTGAAATTGCCTAAATTTTATTTTTTTCAGGTTTAAAGTCAATAAAGGGAAACCACCACAATTTTTATACTGCTATTTCTAAAGATGTCACTTATAAAGAACTTAAAAACCTGCTGAATTCTAAAAATATTATGTTAATTGATGTTAGAGAGGCATGGGAAATTCTGGAGTATGGAAAAATCCCTGGGTCTATCAACATACCATGTAAGTGACATGTGTCTTAAATTGATTTATTAAAAAACATATAATTTACTATATCTAAAATCTAATTGAAATTCTTAACATTTTCTTTCAGTGGATGAGGTAGGTGAGGCTCTACAGATGAACCCAAGAGACTTCAAAGAGAAGTACAATGAAGTAAAGCCATCCAAATCTGACAACCTAGTATTTTCTTGTTTAGCGGGAGTGAGAAGCAAGAAGGCTCTGGACACAGCAATATCTCTGGGCTTTCACAGGTGTGTAGATGAAGGAAAAAATAGGTTCATAAATGTGTAATGCAATGTTTCATATATATTACATTTTCATATGTCTATTTAAGAATTTCTTGTAATTACTGTCAGTAAAGGCAGGATAGCAAAACTAAGAGCCTCTTTTCATCTAACTCAAAAGCAACACAATTTTTAAAATAGGTGTGGAGTCTGAATGGTATGGTGAATAGCCATTGAATTATTTATCTCTAAATTTCCTATCAGTCTTCTGTTATAAAGTACAGAAGCAGCTGAGCGTGATAGCTGACGCCTGTAATCCCAGCACTTTGGGAGGCCGAGGCAGGAGGATCACAAGGTCAGATCGAGACCATCCTGGCCAACATGGTGAAACCCAGTCTCTACTAAAAATACAAAAATTAGCTGGGCATGGTGGTGCATGCCTGTAGTTCCAGCTACTTGGAAGGCTGAGGCAGGAGAATCGCTTGAACTGGGAGGCAGAGGTTGCAGTGAGCCAAGATCACGCTACTGCACTCCAGCCTGGCAACAGAGCAAGACTCCATCTCAAAAAAA